TGCACGCGTCAACTACACGTCACAACAGCTTACCACAGGAGTGGCAATGGTTGGTGGCGTAATTCATGCCGCTACTTCACTTTGCTTGACAGATATAACACTTTTTTTTCGCTTTAGCCAGTACACCGATCAAGAAAGAAGTAGGGCAGGCAATCTCTAAGCTTTTCACGGCTTACCGCGAGACGGTATTTCGGGCATTGGACTGAAATTGGCGGTATTTTAAATGCTCAGTTTAACTGCACTTTTGATTTAGAAAATACTCGATGGGAAACGATAAAAATTATGCGAGAATGAGGAAAATGGGCACTGCTCTGTTTGCACACGCTTCTTCGACGGATTACTGAGGGAAAACAGAAATGTTTTGTGTGCTTTAACAGTACGCAATGGATGCTTGATCCTCGATAATATCACCCACCCTCGCGAAGGATCTGTGGAACAAAGGATGGGAAAGGCGCCGTTGAAGTGGCTCAAGCCCGTTCAGACGTCGACTGTCGAGAAAGGAAAGGAGGGCACCCACAGAGCGCTTCGTGAAGCCACAAAGCTACAGACAAGAAGAAGAGGCAATACTTAAAGTTGATCTGTTAGGCCACTCAAGCAAATGATCCTCAGCATAAACATACAAACTATTGAGAAGCAGTAACTGAGTGCCTTTCCGCCGGCAGCACTGTTGCTCAGTCAACTGCTTATGGCCCTCGTTGCAGTCCACTTTGTTACAGTCCCCCCTGGTCAAGCACGTTTCCCACACTTCACACTATCGCTGTGTTCAGAAACAGTGCAAAACTGATACTATACTGAGGTTTGTGTTAATTGATAATTGTTAGAAAAAAAAAATAGTTTATTCCTCATAATAAAACACATAAATACCTCATTCAAAAACAGTTAATACTAAACACAAAGTAAAAAAAAGGTAAGATGTGAGATAAAAAAATCCAGCACAGTAGAACTACAGATGATACAATAAAAGTAATACTACACAGCTATTTGTGCGTAAGTCGGTTCAAACAAAACATTATTCGATGTTTAACGATCCGATTTCCAGTATTTCTCAAAAACACAAGTTAGCGCCTTGTTCCGCTTTAAGCAGTTCTTTTCAACAAATTTTTCAAAAAAATTGCTCGTTTTCCTGGTTAATACAAAGCTTAATATAATTTTGGAAAACCTGATTAACATAGCTGGAGATTCTGTTTCAAGAAAATATTTGTTTTATTCGTCCTTTTCTCTCAAAATGTTGAAATTCGCACGCCTTAGAAAATGAAAAAGTTGCTTAGAGGGTAGAACTTAATAAAAATCACAAAGCCCAAAAATTTCACAAAAAGGAATGTATAGGTTAATTCAACAATTCTGTCTCAGTTAAAATTTTTCTTTTATTGGCTATGTCTTCTACCAAAGAATAATTTTTCTGAAATTCGCGCTAATCAACTTTTCCGAAAAGTTTTTGGAAATTCATAGACAATAAAATAGAAAAAAGCAAAATTTATATAGGGGACAGCTCAGAATCTTAAGACACAGAGGCAATTTCGTGCTGAATTATCACCTCGCTTCTATGTGATGAGGATCGGCAAACTACCACGTTACTGCGTTAAGGTTCTAGAGCTGAGAAGCTCCAATAATCATCATT